TTTTTTTCTTGCAATAATTTAATGAATGACGTTTCCAAGAGTTATTTTATTTAATATTCTAAATCTAAATCACTTTCCAAAAAGTGAAGTTATGTAATTGTATATACGGACCATATTAAAATTGATTACTCTATAAAAAGAATTACTTATGGTTAGAATAAAGCAATATTACATGAATAATGGAAGAGATTTATGCACAATAACATATGATTTTACATAAATGTGCAATTTATTAAAAAAATCTATGCATCAATAGATAGAAATAGTTATGTATGTTAAAAATAAAAACATTTTCAATTGAGTACATAAATTTTGTTTTGTTGTGAGTATAGAATAATCATGATTCTTTTTTTGCCATTCTTGTCATTTTAGCTGATATGAATAAATACATATATAAATTGAATTGTTAAATTTGAATAAAAATGTAGAGGAAGTTTATTGACTTTTGTGTAATTTACACTTTGACAGTTAATAGATAGTTAATAGATCAGTTGTAAAATTATACATAATTTGATTATAAACGAAAAAATTTTAGTAAAGATTAAAAATTCTTTTCTGTATGAATTTTTTAATGCAATAAAATTTATCTGTGATAATTAATATAACATAGCATTAAAGTATTGAAATAAAATCGGCACTTTATCCAACAAATTAATTGGATTAAATAATGAAATTCAAGGCAATTTTAATTTAGACACTCGAATGAAATAATTTTGTTTAAGAAAATACGATGCATGTACATTTATGCTGGTACGTACGAGGGTGAAAAACTTTGTTTTATGACACGATGTTATAGGCATGCACAATCGTGAGACAATAACATTAAAATACCATTACGTATATCTCACTCTCTTGGAAATATTACAAAAAAGTACTAAAATAAGTCAGAATTTAAAAAAACTTCCCTCCAACTTGGTTTTCGTATTTTGAATACATAAAATGCTTTAATAATATAAAAAGTGTATAGATTTCTAAAAATTATTTGTTAATTGCTTTTTTTAATAAAACTTGAAGCAGAATTTTTTTTTATTTTGCCATTAAACTCTTTGAAAAACAAGATTCTGTCACTAAAGTTGTTCACAAAACTCATTTTAAATATTATTGTCAACATTTATGATGCTTAATAATTATTTTTCATCATTATTATGAATAGTTTAATGGAATGTATGAATTATTCGATTTATGAAACAAAATTAAACATTATCAATAATAACTCAATATCATTATTAAATATCAAATAAGAGATCAAAATAGAAAAAAATAAAAATGAAAATTATTAATAATAACATGATCTTATTTTTTACAGTAAATATTATTAAAAACAACTGAATAGTGTTCACGATAATTTTTTATAATAATTTACATTTCATAGTAATGATATAATTATTCTTAAACATTTATGGTACATAAATGTCAGAAATAATTGAATATTATAAAAACTTGTTTCTCTTTAATAACTATTTAACACTATTACAAATTATTAAATATTATTTTTGAGCGGTAACTGATGGCTCATACTTGGATATATCCAAATGATCTACAGGTGACTAGTTTGGAAAACAACTCTTTTGTTGGGAATTTACTCTTATAATTAAAATAATAAACTTAACTGGATATTAGGAAAAACCTATAATCCTTTTTTATATAAAAAAAGAATATGTTTCAAAATTATTAACTTTTCTTCATTATTCATGAGGATAGCGTGACTCATTTAACTCAAAATTTGATCAATCTCAGGTTACTCTGAAATGTATTGAAGAAGAAGCTTCTAATTAGAATTGATTAAACTGTTTTCAAGATATCGCCGAAGAACAAAATTGGAGACAGAAAGTTTTAGGCCTTATTCAATTAGAGTTGAGAGATTTACGACAATCTTTATTCTAATGTACATAAATTGATAGATCCAATGTGTTCTTCAACCAAAGTTTACAACTTTTTTATAATATAGAAAAAAATATTTCTTTGACATATATTACATTCCATAATAATAATTGTTCTCGAGCTGTCAATACTTCACATAAGAAAGTTTTATTCAAAAATTTTTTAAATTTTTTAATAAAAATCATTTACAGCAGCCTCAGGATATTTTTACTATAAGTTTAATTTCTTTTATAAAGAGTATAATTCTACAATAAACTTTTCGTAAACTTAAAATTTAATGAAACTAATTAAGGCATCTCAATTAAGTAAAATAAGGAAAGTTAAGTTAATCTGTACTCGACGATAATTTAATAATTACTTTGAAGGTATTTTTCTCTTACATTTGGTGTAGTTAAAATTTTTGAAACATTATATTTTTCCAATGTAATTTTATTTTTGAAAGTTACTTGAGGAAAAATATCTTATTCAACGTACTTTAGATAGATAGATTACTTTACTACTGACTTAAAAAACTTTAAAAGTGAATAAATAACAATTTATTTTCATTGATAAAATTTTTCACTTTATTTTCATCAAATACTGATGGTTGAGTACTTACAAAATTTACTTTTTTCAACTTTAAGTGTAACTCAGAAGAGCAATTGGAAAAAGAGGATAGTCAACATTGGTCTCAGGAGGAAAAAAGAATTGTACGTGGAGAGTAAATTGAAAGTTCGATTGTAAAACTGTATCCAATAAAAATTGGTAGAGTACCCACTGTGAATCCTTTTCTATACACCATATTGAAAGGAAAATTAGCTCATCACTTTTTCACACAAGTCTATCAATTCTCCCATTTTTTTTAATGATCACTCGTCAATAATACATCGTTCATGTCTGGTCCGAAACCTTTAATGGTAACAGGGATTTTCTACATACATTGACCACGTTGACAATTGAAATGAACATCAATCGAAACCAAGAAGGTCTTGAAACCAAAATCATTTTATTTCTCCCTGTGGCTCAATGTACTTCAATGGCCGACTATAACACAGAAAAAGAATGAAGTAGCTGGGATTTATTACCTAAGATAGTACCTATTTGGTTTCATTCAACGTATGCTCGGTTTTTCAAAATGGGTCAACGATGTGTGTGTACCTTATTTGTACTGCTGCAGGGAATCCAATAAAATAAAAAATAATACATTTCATATCCACCAACAGCTTGGTCTCTATTTTCCTCGCTCTTACTTCCGGACAATAGAGCTACTAAAAGAAAACAGATGACAGAAAATACGAGGGAAAAGGATATTTGTAATAGATATAAAAATTGTTTTAAACTTTTCCTTTATTATAAATGTTGATGATTCCACAAGATAGACTCAGCTAGAGAACATACCGTAATTGCAATTTTCAGATACTCGAAAGAGTCCAGGAATTAAATTTCAATCTTCATTTGAATATGCTTTAGATTTGCATCTAATCTGTTGCGAAAGTATTTAATGATGAATACAAATAAATTGTACTTAAAAAATTTCAATTCCATGGGTGTATTGTATTTGAAAGAATTAAGATTATTGCAAGGAAAATTGATTTTAGGATTGAAATATTATAAATATGAAATTTATTATTTCACAGACAATGGAATTTTTTAGAGGATAATTTAGTTTTAAGCAAAAAGTAATAAAAAAATATATTTTACGTTTTTTAAAAGCTTCTGATTTACATAAACGTATTTTACAATTTTCATTTGATTCAAATTCAATTTTGTTCACATAATTTTCACCTTGTAAAATAAAAAATGTTCTTATCGTTTGAAAAATTTTACTTTGTAATCATTCATCATCAATAAAAGGTTTATTCTATTTTTTACAGTTCATTATATTTTTTACATAAAATAAGAGCTTCCTCGAAATTTAGAATTTATTTCACTAACCATTTTTTCGTTGCGTCAAACGATTATGTTGAAAAAATTTCGATCAAAGAGTTTTCAATAGTTTATTGAAAAATCAAATTGTAAAAAAAAATTTATACTCTTGAGAGAATTTTTATCTCTGCAAGCTCTAGCAATTTATAGTTACAAGAAATTTAACATTATTATTTTTTAATAAGTTATTCATTTAATATATTTGTTATTTACTCTGACTAAAATGATTAATTAATAATTCTCAGACCATTTTACTATCATAGGTATAGCAAAACGTTAATAATTGCAAGCCATTTATTAGCTACCAACAGAAATTTCGAGTGAGTAAACATTATGAATTAGGTCAATTTACAGATAAAGGTTCGATTAGAATATAAGAATATTATTCGATATAAATTTTAGTTCCGCAAAAAAGTACATTGAAAACTAGAATATCGTCCCTACACAAAAAAATTAGACAGCTTTTATTAAGAAATTTTGTTCAATTATCTTTTTCAAGTTATATCACTAAAATAAATTTATTTTTGTTTAGTTCTATAAAACAATATGAAATTAATTGTAAAAATCATATTAATCATTTGTTTTAAAGCAAAATATTGTATTTTAAATATTGACGACGTGTATGTGGCTATAATGAAGCATGTGTTACATGTTGATCTATGAGAGACTATCCAAGACAAGTAATTACTTAAAATCTGATATTAGACAACCAGTGTAACATCTACATGTTGTCGAGATATTCTTTTTAATTTTCAGATGATGATAGAATTATTCATAATGTTGTAGGAAACTAATGGAGCTGAAATACATTCTCATTGTTAGGCAAAAAAATTGTCATTAAGGAGAAAAATTTTAACTTTAAAAAAATTACTGAAAGATAAGTTTTAATTCAAATAAACTCTACATATTTTATGAAAAATATAGATACTTTTGTTGGCTCAAAATTATTCAATTTTAAAAAAGTACAAAAAAAGAATATTCTCAGTTATTCGTGTTCATTATTCGCAGGGAATATCTGTAAATACTCTTAAAAACTTGAAAGTATTTATAAATATATTTTAATGATCATTTTCTGCAAATACAAAGATTCATTTGAGATGATGATTAGAGTAAATGCATTTGAAAGTTTCACCGTGTACAAGTTCGTTAATTAAAAATAATTAGTAGAGTTTTCTGTTTAGTCATGCATAATTACACCTTTAATTTAGTATGGATCAGATTAAAGTGTAAACCATAAAATGACTTACCCTGCACTTGGGATATTCCTCTTCGGGAGTTGGCCTTTTCCAACCCAGCAAAGGTGGAATGCATACGAGGGCTGCCATCACCCACACAAGAGCTATCATAAGAACAGCACGAGCGGGTGTTCTCTTCTTTAGATATTCCACTGCCTGTGTAATGCTCCAGTACCTGTCAAGGCTTATCAGACACAAGTTCATTATACTCGCGGTACATAGAAGCACGTCCATTGCTGAATATATATCGCACCACCAGTAACCAAATATCCAATAACCCATGATTTCATTAGCAAGGGAGAAGGGCATGATAACAAGGCCAAGGAAAAAATCTGCCACTGCTAGACTAGCGATGAACCAATTCTGAATATTTTTCAATGCTTTTTCAGTAACAATAGCAATTATGACCAACATATTTCCGACGACGACGACAATCATTAAAATGGTCGCTGCTATCGAAGCTAAGATAATCTGAAGAAGACTGTAACCTGATGGATATAAGCTATCACCTAAGACAATGTAAGTTTCATTAGAGCACGTTGCATTGTATAAGCTTTCGTTAAATTGGCTAACATTAAGATCCTCCATTGTTCCCAGATCTTCGTCGAAGCTAAAAAGAAGACTAGAATCTTCAACGAGTTCACTACCAATATCAGATTCAAAAGTCCTTTCTTCAACAGTCTCGTCTCCAGACGCGTATCCTTCGTCTTCTTCTTCCTCACCGTCTCCTTGGCTTTCCTTTGCCACCACCCAGTCTGTCACGTTATGCTTGTTGATTAGTGCTTGCTCGTTGTGAGAATTGAGGGCTATCGAACAAGCACCACAAGTCTTTTGATGGGCTTTGTCATCTAAATGAGTCGTGATTGATGAAGGTGATGGTGTAGATTCGTATGACGACGTAATGATTGTATTTCCGCTGATACTGCTGCTTGATTGGGACCAGTCAACCGAGGTGCTCATATTTTCTTCGAAGATGCTCGTCGACGCCAGACTACTGGCGCTGATGACGTTCATGACCGCGCCTTCGTAGCTTGGCATGACTTGCACCTTCGATCCAAGCTCTTGCTATCGCATCCACGGCACTTGTGTCGTTATAGAGACCTCGAGATCTCGACTCTCTGGCGTCAATTGCCCCTCTTGCTTTGCCACACACGAGGCGGATGATAGCAACACCACCATCAGCACGTATACCAGCGACGACAAAGGCCCAATTTGATGATGGCTCGTGGTGACGACCCTGTCTACCTTTTTGTGACCACTTGGATACCTCTCGTCGCATCTCAGGGAGGCCAGGGCCAACATGCCCGATTCAAGATGGCGACATCGCCTACGTTTCGGTATTCCACTTTGTGTCGGCTCGCTTTGATTAAAACAAGCCCGTCTTCTTCTAACAAACACACTAATTGTTTCTAAACTACTTGGCAAAATATTCAATCTTGAAAAAATAATTTTTAGAATCACGAATGTCTTTCCACGTTGTCAGACAGTTCTTGATTTTTTAAATATTTTTATCTTGATTTATTGCTCCAGTTGTGCGTTATAAAACGGCCCAAATAATAAGGGGAGAGTTGGGAAATAAATATCGTAAGGTAGTGATAATATAGAAAGAAAACAATACCTTTCAGTGACAATTATATTGTACACAATTATTTATTTTATCTTATATTTATAATATTAATATTTTCTCTTATTCATATTTATTTATATATTTCAGCTAATTTTATGTTAATGTTATTATCGAGCAAATAAAACAGAACAATATTGAATATAAAATAATAAACTATGGTATGTGACGCGAGAGTGCGAGTAAATTGGTCCCCTTGCTCCCGTTTTTTCGTATATTAAAGTCCACTTTTATGGACTTGACGCGTTTAAGACGCGTGGAGGAAGGAGGAGAAGAAAAGGCGAGGAAAAATTGTCTTTAGGTTATTTTCTGATTGCCAACGTTAAAATAATGACGTGTTTTTTGACCCGTGAGGTCGACGAAGAGAAAAAGTAGAGAAGGAAGGAAGAATTGAAGACTCGACAACGAAAGGTACTTTTATTCGTCAGCTACGTAATGTAATTTAACGTTACTCGTACTTATTTCCCGTGACATTTCTCTTTCGTTATAATACGATATCCTCAATTCAATATTCGATCCATCCACTTCTATTCTTCGTTCCTCTTGTATTTTATTATCTTTACTCTATGTTCTTTATTACAATTATTATAATCAATCTCACCTATTTCCCTCTCCCTTTCTCTCTTAGTCTGATTCTGTCTTATAGCAATTGAGTGCCGTGCTAATTACGCCGATGATGATAATTAATTATCACTCAGGCTTTAAGAAGGCTATGTCACCCGTACTGCTCCGACCTGTTTTATTTATTCTATTAATTCTACAACAATATAACAATGAGGATAAAATTTTATGACGATTTTTTTTATTGTATTAATTGTTAGAATAATTTTTTTTTTTATTAATACTTTTAGTGAATTTATTTAATGTGTTATTTATTTTAATCTTGTTTCTCCACAAAGGAGTTTACTCCTAAGCCTGCTCTCGTTTATTTCTACTTACTACGTACTAAAAATTCTAGGATAGAGATTTATTTATATAATACAATATTATCTATGCTTTAAGCTAGATTTTAAAAAAGGAACTGTCCTTATAGAAAATAATAAGGATATGGAAAAGAGGAATTATAAGGGAGAGCCTTGAATGTCTTCGCACTTTTTTTTACAAGTGTATAGACGTATATATATTCTTTATTTCCATTCACTGTATGCTCAAACTTAGTCGTCAAATTATCAAATTATCTTGGTTTTTTTTTTCTTCTTTAACTCTTCCTACCTTACGTTGAAAAGAGATTGACGACTTGTACGTGTCGCTTTTTGATATTCTCATTGACGTTGGCATTCGTTTTGCCGCATCCTTGCTGCCATGGAACAACCGAAGACGATGAGATGGTGTGTGAAGATAAAATGTGAATCAAGTACGTTTACACTTCATCGAGCACGTTAAGACAAATTCAACGGAATTTTGTTTCAACTTTTGGCTTTTGAGTTTAGTAAAAAATAGCTGAAAGGTGACGACTTCAGCAATAAATGTGATTTTTTGATTTATCTGAGGAAATTCTTCGTCTTGTTGTTGTTTTCGTCGTCGTCGTCGTCGCCGTGGACGACGAGAGAGTAACAGCAGCTGATTTGCACGCGACCTTTTGTGCTACCTCTTGGAACGTGAAGACTCTCGTCTCTTTCGACTCTCTTCAGCCTCGAGCATCGCACGACGACGACGAGAGAACGGCACGCCGCACGTACTGTCCTCTGTTGCTTTTTCACTAACAATTTGTTAGCTTTTTTTGGTATATATTAACTTTACTCCTCTACCTTTTGTGTTTTGGTCGTCTGTTTCCTTGACAGAGAATCGTCACTGGCACGATTTTTTTTTTACAATATCGTTGAAAGTAAGTTTATCCACTGGCTTTCAACCCCCCCCACCCGATGGTTTTCCCTTTTGTTACCCGTATTTCTCGCGTGTTACGAGTGCACTCAACTCGCATCTGCCCCACTTTAAGTCACGGTAAAGCACTTCGCACACAGGTGGAATGCGTCGTCACTTGCACCGATTACTTTGGAAGACGAGATCTTGAGAATGCATTTAAAAGTCAATAATCCGACAGGTGATTGCAGAATATTGAAAAGCTGATAGAAAAAGATGGCAGAAGGAGAGAAAGATGAAATGTAGAAAAAGGAAGAAGAAACAGACCCACTAACACATTTCGATTTTTTTTTTAAAAACACTAATTAAATTGTTTATTTTGTTCTTAAGAGTCGCAAGTTCTGAAAGAAAAAAAACCGCAGAGATTCTGTTGAATATAAGAACTTTTGAGTAAAACTTTAAACAATGCACCAAGTCAAATTTAAGAAAACAAACTTAAAGGAAAACTTAAAAACAGCCTGCGAGTGGTTAAGTGATGCTTTCGTCTTTCAGTCACACAATAAAATATCAACTGACTCGTAGAGAGTAAGGGTGGGAAGCTGTGGCTCGCTGGAGGCTGACTGGAAGCAGCAATGTTCGTAGCTTGGTAGTCGTGCCGGTGACGGTAGGAGTGTTTGGGCGCCGTCTGACGATAATGTTGGAGCGCAAGCGTCGCGCATGGCGCGCTCCGTTGAGTGAAGAATAAAGAGGGATGAAAAGTGCGTATATCGTGACGAGTAGTCGACTTTTGACCATCGACCAAGTGGTTTCCATATGAAAGAAATGTAAAAAAGAAAAGGAAAATAGGTTGAAAGATATGAGGGGAAAGAATGATGTTAAGTATTATTTACAAGAACGCAATCATGAAGGTTCTATGCGTTTGCAAAATGTAGGAGGAGTGCCGAGAGTGACTTCGGATGAGGAATGGATTAGACAGGAGTATGAGGATAAGATATATATATATATATATAGAAGTGGCGGGAGGTTTTAGGACTGTAGGTCATGCCGATACTGCAAACGACGCCATCAGCTACCATCAGTTCTTGCTTTATTACGCACGAGAGAACCGTCCGATCGGATTCTGTGCTCATTCCAAAATGCACTGAATAGTCGTTGGAGATATTTGCGAGCCAAACATCCAGGAAGAAGGGTAGGTTACTCAAAATTCATGGAGAAGGCATCGTAAGATTATAGCAAATGATAGTCTTCCGACTTTATGCGACATTATTGTGGCCCCGGGTGTTGCGGAAGTGGGCACCGCTGCTTGAAAAAGAATAAGGGTGGATTTTAGATGACTCTTGGAAACTTGCCACTACTATAAGATCAGTCTATCTTTCTTAAAAGACCATCTCTTTTTTTATCTCAGTTTCTTCGTTGAGGCCTCTTTTCTCAGGTAATTTCTCTTCATCGAAGATTGTCGGCTTGGCAAACCCCTTATTTTCTTCCTTTTCTTCAAGACTTCATTTTTTCTTTTTATGCTCTCCATCACTGGATTCTTTTATTGAATACTTATATAAGTCAATGTTAGCTTGCAAACTTGAAAAAATGATCGCTCATGAAATAATTAAATATTCTACTTTCAATTGATCGACCACCTGTGCAATTTTATTTCCTTTCAGAGTTTTTTTTTATGCTTCGTGAGGTTTGAAAGAGCTAACTGAATAATTTTTTTGTTTTCTCAAATATTTACTAGAAATGGAAAAGTTTTTTGCAATCTTGAATTTGTACAATATGATTTAAAGATCAGTCAAGTAAATAAAACTAAATATTTGATTGTACATCATTCTAACTGATGTTATAAATATGTCAATTATTAAAATATGCTGTTTTAATATACTTGGATAAATTATTTTTTTCTCTTTAAACACATTTTATTGATTTTTCACTTTCTTCAATATTCTATTTCTGTATAATTTTACCAGAAATAACAATTTGTTTATATTGAGAGAAAATATTTTTAGTTAATTACTTATTTATTATAAAAACGTTTTAACATATATCAAATATAAAAATTTTTTTGTCAGTGAGCAACTACGAATACACAGTTGAAATAAAAAATAATTAAGTTCAATAACGATCTACGAATGTTTTTCTGTTCAAGTTTGCTGAATTATTTATTTGACAAAGTTTTATTTACATACTTAGAAGAATCGGCCCATTATTATAAATAACAATAGAAGAACAAACATACTTTCAAGTACAAATAAAGTGCTTCTCTAAAGTTTTTTATTGGCCGTAGAAGTAATCACTGGAATAATTAATTATTGAGTTAATCTTAATGTTATACTTATTGTTAATTGCAATAAAATCACATAATAGTTTTTATTTTACTTATACGTAAAAATAAAACTCTTTTGTTGGGAGTAATTGAAAAAATTATTGTTTTGTATCAAGATTTTTTCGTTCACTCACTTATAAATTCCATTAATGTGTGTCAATTGGATGACAAAATTCCAAACTGTATCATTGATAGGTGAAGTATAACTATATTTTTATTATTAATTTTTTTATTGAAAACTCTTGATTTACATAGAAATGTGAATAACTCAACATGGATCTAATTTGTAGAAGAAACTTCCAAGTTTTTTTAAGGATGTATTTGATGTAACTTCAAAATTTATGAGTAATAATAAATACAAAATATCTTTAACGATTAATGAAAATAACCGTTTTTAAAAATAATATTGTTCTTTATCGTCAGACATTTATGAATAGAAGAACTTCTTCAGTACAAAAAGTAATCTTTCATAATAAAAGGTAAATACTTTCAGTAAAAAGAAGTTTGCATCAATTTATTATATTATACTTGAACTTTGATGCTTATTTATGAATCCAATCGCAAACTAAGACATATCTAAAGGGATACGAGTAACATAGTTTGCATGAAAACCATCTGATGTAGTCGTAAAGGCACATTATAAGTATATGCAGACATGTAGTGCATTGGAAGTGAAACGGGAGCGTAACAAGTCCGTCGGTTGGAGGAACTAGTTAGGAAACTTCTTATAACTGCTAAGCTGTTCTATGTATGTTGTGATAGAGAACAACCCATTGTGTAACCTCATGGCAAAACGTCTCAACTTTCGAAATCACTCATGCGTTCGGTATGGATAGATGGAAAACTTACAACTGAGCGAATAAACTGTAGAAACATAGACAGAGATGAATGTGAAATTGATGAAAGTTTTCATTGATTGAAATTGCGTTTTTATTGAACCCAAAATTTGCTCCGACTATTTTTTTTTATTTCCAACTTTTATAATAATTTATAGATAGAAACTTTGAAATCAATTTTTTGTTTGTGGTTATTCATATCATTGCTGAATATTTCAGTTAGGACCGAAGTTAACAAACACATGCAGATGGTGCGGACATATGCCTGGGGTTTAATGTCACAGGTTGCCAATTTCCGAGACTAAAATTCAGAACTGATCAACGTATATGACCACTTCAAATGCAGTTTACAAAATATATATTTTTATGTCACTCTCTTTATGATGGTTATTTTTTTTTTTATTAGTGTACTCTAAGTTTAAAAAAGTATATCATTGCGTATTTTTGCTACTGCGTTTATTTCTTTTTTTTTAGAAAAATTTATTTGCAATCCAAATCACAGTACTAAAAAAAGTTGTTTTATTGAATACTGCTCGTGAGTTTTTTAATAAAAAAAAATTTACTTTTCCCGTTAAAGTAGAATTTATTAAAATCGTCACAAACTCCCAAAATGGGTAAGTATTTTTTCATTAACAAAAATTTTTTTAATCCTCATAAATGTCAGTTACTATAGTAATTATAATCCAGTAAAATAAAGATGAAAACTCAAGTTCAAAAAATATTGAAAAGTTTCCAGCAATTTCTTCAACCAAAGTTTTTTTTTGTTTTACAAAATAATTTTCTCTTGTAGTTTGTAAAAAATTTCATGCTCGAATGATGCATAATTAAAATCATAATTGCAAGTTGAAAGCAAAATATGTGTATAAAGTTGAAAGACTAGGATATCTGCATTGCTTAGAGGCTGATATAGAGTATATCAAGTTTAGGCTAGAATGTGAGAGGAACGTGGCAAAAATGCAGCATTACTCTATGCAAATATGGGTGATGAATCGTTGGCAAAAGGGCTGAGTGCAGGAAAATATAAAGCTCTTTTATATCTAAAAGCGAATACATTGTCATGTGCATGAATTTAAATTTGTATGTGAACTCATTATATGTAGTGAGAACGAATATTATTATGTAGAATTTAAAACAATCGTTAATATAAATAAACTTAAATAAAAAAAAGGTTTACTACTCAGTTTAATGTTCGTACAGTTGTATAGAGTAACGTTTAAATGTTTGCTTAAATAGAAACTAGTAAAGAATGGGATGGTTGCTAAACTTAAAAATAAATTTCATAAAAAAATACCCCAGCTGGGATTTGCTAGCAATAATGCGATAATGATGAAATTGATATTTTTTAAACTTTACAGATATTTGAAGTAAGAAATAATGTGTAATTTAAATAGAAATGAACTAATTATCCATAATATTAACAAATTCGAATAATTTTTTAAGCATTAATAAATTAAAAATTTGATAAACAAATAGTGCAATAAGCGTTTTCAAACTTATTTTAATAAATTAATACATTTTCTCGAGTGTTTCACTTTGCTCCTACGTTCCACTTTATCCACCCTTCCTCTACTTTTATTTTTGCTAAACATTATTCTTCTTATGATCGATGGTGAGACAAATTTGTGATGAATTTCAAGTAGAATTGTTTAGCTGTGACCACTGAATGTTTTTTAGATTGAAAATTAAACGTAACATGAGAATATGTCATATTAAAAAAAAACTGCAAATATTAAAATAAAACTTTTTCATCATGATTCATCCCTTAACCGCTACTTGTTGGTTTAATCTTTTATACATTTTGAGAAACAGTCGGTGTATTATTATGCCTCATGTATCAACTTACTCCAACTTCTTTCAACTCTTAAAATTTGATTTATCGATAGTACTACCAGTGCTGTTGATAATAAACGTGCATGAGTGTTTATT